CCTCTGCCTGCCGCTCTGCCTACTTGTGCTCTCTCTCTATCTCTCTGTCAAATAAATAAATAAAATCTTAAAAAAAAAAAAAAGAAATAGTACAAATGAGATAGACAAAATGGGAAATACAAATGAAAATCACCAAAGGCTGGATTGCAATTAGTGCTCCTTTTTTTTTTTTTTAAGATTATATTTATTTATTTGAGAGAGAGTGTGTGTGCGCATGAGCTGGAGGAGGGGCAGAGGGACAAGCAGACTTCCCGCTGAGCGGGGAGCCTGACACAGGGCTCTATCCCAAGACCCTGGGATCATGACCTCAGCCAAAGTCAGACCTTGACTGAGCCACCTAGGCACCCCTGCAATTAGTGTTTCTGAGACACTGTCTCTATGATCTATGATCATTACTACCATCAACATTATCATTACTGTCATCTATTGAGTAGTTATACACCAGGTACTGTAATAATTTCTTTAGATATATTAACTTCTAAAATAACCTGGTAAGGTTATGCAGTGGCTACTATTATCCATTTAAAAAGTAAGGAGGGGCACCTGGCTGGCTCAGTCAGTAGAGCATGTGACTCTTGATCTTTTTTTTTTTTTTTTTTCATGTGACTCTTGATCTTAGGATTGTAAGTTCACTACACAATGGGTGTAGAGACTACTTAAAAATAAAATCTTTAAGGAGTGCCTGGGTGATACAGTCAGTAGAGCATCTGACTCTTGGTTTCAGATCAGGTCATGAGATTGGGGTCCTGGGATCAAGCCACGCATTGGCCAAAGGAACTACTTAAGATTCTCTCTCTCCCTCTTCTGCCCTTCCTGCTTGTGCTGGCTCTCTCTCTCAAATAAATAAATAGAATCTTTAAAAAAAAACTTTAAAAGTAAGTAAATAAATAAGTAAAAATGAAAAGTAAGGAAACCAGGGTTAAGAATAACTCTTCCAGGGTCATAAAGCTTCGTATGTGGTAGAGCTGGATTGCAGCCCAAGCAGTGTCACTACACTTTTTCTCCAACTCAGCAGGAGGAGTCTCAGAATCCCACAAATATCCCCTGATTCAAGACAGACAACTGGACACACTTGTGCATTTGAAACCTCTCTTGCTGAGGTTGAAAGCATATGAAATCACCAATGATGGGAAACTACAGGACAAATACCATGACCCAAAAAAAAAAACCAAAAAAACAAAGGCCAATGATGATGGGACATCATCCTGATTTGGAGAAGCAGACAAAAGTCAGACTGAGTGAGCAGTAGGGAAGATTGAAGACAAAACCGGATGTAGAAAACTAGCATCTGGTGCAATGGTTTCACTAATTAATCTATGAGCAAAAGCAGACATAAAGTATTTTTTTTGTCATTACCCAATATTGTATTAGCCAAATTAGCCAAATAAACTTACAAAAACTAGTAATTAAAATTTTAGGTAAAGAGGGGTGCCTGGGTGGCTCAGTCATTAAGCATCTGCCTTCGACTCAGGTCATGATCCCAGGGTCCTGGGATCGAGTCCTGCATCAGGCTCCCTGCTCCGTGGGAAGCCTGCTTCTCCCTCTCCCACTCCCCCTGCTTGTGTTCCTGCTCTCGTTACCTCTCTGTCAAATAAATAAATAAAATAAAATAAAATAAAAAGATTTTAGGTAAAGAGTGAGGGAATAATCATTAAAATAACTTTGGAGTAAATTACCTGGTATGTATGAGTTGGTAAATGTAAAAACAAATTAAATATACACTTAAAAAAGTTATAAATATAAATATTTATAGTTATAAAATAACTTATGTTATAATTTATTGTAATTATAATTTTATAATTTTATATTATATACTTTAATATATTAAAGTTATAAATATATACATTTATATAGATATGAATCTCCAAAAACAGATATCTTGATCATTTTAATAAATTAGACAAATACTTGTCAAGCCTAAATCAAGAAAAATAATAAAATTTAATAATTCAAACTGGGATATAAAAGAAACGTGTAGTAAAAGATAGAGTGTCAAGTTTTGAGAGGAATTCTACTTTGGGATAGCAGTATGAGGTACTCTATGGATGTTTCCCAATAAAACAGGCATAACTGGTGAATATTTTTTTTTGTTTTTTGTTTTTAAATTTTCAGTCTCTGGAAATTACCCTAAGGGCATAAAGCAATGAAGAACCATTTATTCAAGAAAATCTACTAAAACTTGGTAAAAACTGTGGCAGTCTGTGGCATTTGTCACATCTGCTCCTTCCCTCTCCTCACTCTAGCTCAGCTTGAGAGAAGTTCCATCTGGGTGGGTATGGCTAAGAAGACAGGGCTCTTTCTCTCCTCAGCTACCAATCTATGGATGGTATCTTCTTGGGAAGGACAAAAGCTCAGCATTCTCATTCTATTCAACTCCAAGTTAGAGAGGCTAAGTTTTTAATGTTTGTGGCCAAGAGGTCAGTGGCTCCTTTCCTCTAGAATGGAGGCTTTACCAAAGGAGTGGCAGGCCAAAAATACTGGAATATTTGTCCTTATCTCAGTTCATTTTCAGGACAGAGGTTCTACACCAAAACAGGCAAGTCAAGAAGACCGGAGGTTGCCATCTCACTAAGAGCCCAGAGTCGTGGCTCAAAGATTTTATCCAGGGAGAGAGGCAGCTCATAAGCAGAAAGAATGCAAAAGCTCTCCCAAAATGAAATGAACTTATTTGAAACAGTGGGCAAAGTTCAAGATTAAGGACACTCCAAAATAAAAGATTTGGTGGTAAGCAATTAAGAGGAGCCAGGAAGCTTCTTTTAGTTAAGAATTACAAGGTAAAGCATAGCCCAATTCACTAACAAGAATCAGGAAAAAAGACAACTAAAGAGAAAGAAGTCAGAAGAAACCTCAAAGACTGGCCTCAAAAACTACCCCTGCCTGAATTCAATGAGATCATAAAGTGGAGCAATTTATGCTCCAGGCATTGTCAAAAACAATAGAGTAATCGGCTGGCAATCAATAGATCTGATACCAAACAAGACAGACAACTTAAAAAAGAGGTAGAGGAAATGGACAAAGAGAGCCCTTCTAACACCACCATCATCCTAGAGTGACTTTGCACATGCCCAAGGCTATATACCTTCTGAGATGTGACCCCAAAAGTGTCATACTATAGGGGAAACAGATTTCACTAAAATAACATGCAAGTCACTAAACAAATGCATGAATAAACAAAAATAAGAACAACTCTTAGAAAAGGAGGGATGGGAATCAGTATCCAGAATTGTTACAATATATAAGGTAAGTGTTCAGTTTTTAACAAAAAATTACAACAGGAAAAGAAACAGGAGAGGGAAATCCATACACTGAAAAAAGCAGGCAACAGAAATTGCCTGGGAGGGGTACCTGGGTGGCTCAGTCGTTAAGTGTCTGCCTTCGCCTCAGGTCATGATCCCAGAGTCCTGGGATCAAGCCCCTTAACGGGCTCCCTGCTCTGCGTGAAGCCTGCTTCTCCCTCTCCCACTCCCCCTGCTTGTGTTCCTTCTCTCACATTCTCTCTGTCAAGTAAATAAAATAAAATCTTAAAAAAAAATTAAGAA